CCCCAAAACCCCAAAACCCCAAAACCCCAAAACCCCTAGAGGTTAAAATATGCCAGAATAATTTGAATCAGAGAGAATTAATTAATTTTTAACTTCACAGCAGCAACCCTAGATATATAGCTTTATATCGTAGAAAAATTTACTTTATATAATAATATCTTTTTTTATCTAGGATTCAGAATTAGTACTAAAGAATTTGCTTTCAAGAAAAAATATGTGTGAGATGAACAACAGCTATGACTCATCGACACCAACAATAGGTGATTAAGAGATTAATACTTCAATAGAGAATAAGCTTATTAAATCGTATCAGTTTATATCAAACTTATCAAGCTAATCATTCAGTACGTGCAGTACCAAAATCTCAAGTTAAGCAGATCAAAATAATTATAAAGACTTTCAAGAGAATTGGATATTCAATTCTACAAAGTCAGAGTAATTATAAATGATTAATGAGGAAATTGAATTTTCTGATTAATTAGACTAGATGTAATAAAATGTAGATGACTCATTAAGATACTAATTAAGAAGAAGAATTAGTGATAATTACATGCAATCCAATTATCATTAATTAACCTTTCAAACTCAAAATCTGAAACTGAGTTCTGACTCAAATCTTGACATAATCACTCAAGGAAAAATCTAAAACAAGAATCAAAGCAGCAATGATATGAAGTAATAGCTATTAGAAAGTGAAATGCTAGAGAATTTCTATTTAACAAGCTATTTGACTCATAACAAAGTGCTTTGCTAATTTCAAGGTAAGCAGAGCAACCATGATAATAAAACTCCTAGTATTAATGAAAATATCCACTTTGCAAAGGTCTCAAATGAAATCCTTGAATCTAGAATTTTTTACCCTAATCAACGTCATTTAAGTACTTTCAGTTTACCTTTTGATGACATTCTAACCCATGGAACATCAAATAAATATTGCAATTCGAAAGATCATATCTTCAACGATCTTTATAATTCTGATATATATTTTCAGTCTTAAGAAAATGGAACCTAGATAAATGATGATTAAGTAAAAGATCGTTTTTCACATCAGGATTTTACAAGAGACATAATTAAAAATTCAAGCAATTGTGATAGTTAGGACAACTTTTAACAGTAAATGAAGAAAGAAAACTTCTAAAAGATACTCAACCCTTCATCATCCCATCATGTGGATCATTAGAAAGTACCATTTAAAATGAGAAAGAGACATATGATAAAGAAATCTGATTAAAATTAAATCACCAGAAAATAAGATATAAGAAAACTATCTAAAGAACTCAAAAAACTTTAAGTTTCTTCAAAACTTAGACATAAACTACTTGCTAAGGATTATTCCTAAGAGTGAGATACGTTTAATAACTTTATTTATCTGGCTAAAGTGAGAATAGATGACTTATTTTGTAAAAATTTAAGACTCTTCCAAAAATCAAAGTTCGAATCTGTTTATTAATTCAATTGCTCAAACTTATGAAGATAAGTTATTGTATATACAAGCAATAAGTTTACTATCAACAATGATATATTAGGAAAGAGTATCTTAAGAATTTACATAGATTAGAGATAAGAAATCTAATATTTCACTTTACGCTTTTTAATGTTATCATTTATGTAAAAAGAAATTAGTCAAAACAAAGTATTCTTTTCTATTTTTTGCATTATTAATGTCCTTTTATCATTTAACTTTTCTAATATTCCTTATCATGGGGTTTTGGGGTTTTGGGGTTTTGGGGTTTTGGGG